GTCAGCACAACTGGCTTCAGTAAGTATAACTTCCCTTCCTTGAAGGACTGTACTCTCCCAAACCTAAGTCCCACCTCCTCAAATGACTTCTTGGCAGGGATTTGTCCCAGTGACAGAAAAAATAATGAACACACTAGACAGGTTGGTACAATTCTCACTGGGAGACATAGCGCTCAACTTTTAGCAAGCAGGTCCTCAAACTAATAGTTCAGGGATGTATTCTCATGTGTTACCAGATTCCAGGGTTGAGAAATGCAGCTATCTACAAATGAGCAATGTGTTCAATTGCATAAGACCAACAAGCCGCCGAAGTCCCTTGATAAATTGCACTGCGTCTCTGAATGTTATGTGGCCTTGTGCAATGTGTGTCATGGCCAGCCTGTTTAGGCTGTCTGCCACTCTGTGACCCCTGAAGCATGTATGGGGAAATGACTGTCACATGACCCTGTGAGTAATGATTTTATTAAATGGAAACACCTCAAGGAAGAATGAGAAACTGAGAGTAGAGGCATTTGCTGCCAGAGACTGATGACCTAAGTTTGATTCCTGAAACCCAAACAGTGGGGGGAGAGAACTGAGTCCTGTAGGTTGTTCTCCAAACTCATATGTACCATGATGTACATGTATGTATGTACATGAACACACACACACACACACACACACACACACACACACACACACTAAAAAGTAAAAACAAACCTAGAATGTGCTCTGTGCTCTGTGTGAGTGTGTGTGTGTTTACATGGTCCCTCATGCCTGCTAGGCAAACACTCTAACATTGAGTCATATTTCTAACCATTAACGTAAGATATCTAAGGTCCTTTCCAACAACACAATCTTAATAAAGTCTATCCTCCAGCAGACCTGAAGTCTGCCCACAGGACAGAGGCACATGTATGATGGTGACACAATCTATCCTCCAACAGATCTGAAGTCTGCCTACAGCACAAGGCCCCACATGTGATGGCGATACATTCTATCCTCCAGCAGACCCAAAGTCTGCCTACAACACAGGGGCACATACATGGCAGTGCTGTGTGTTGGATATTCACACACTCCATCCCATTCATGTGGAGAAGACTTAATCCCAGCCTGGGTGGTAGTATTAGGTCATGGAGAGGGATGGATATGTGACAGAGTTAATGTTCTTATTAAAAGAGAAGAAGACCAACACAACATCCCTGCTCCACAGGGGGCACAGTGAGTGTCTGTAAGTCAGGAAGACACCACCAGAAACCAGCGTAGCAGCACTCACACTTGGACTTCCAGACTCTAGAACTATACACAATAAACATCTTGCTTAAGCCACCGTGTTTTGGTGTTCTGTTCTCTCAGCCTGCTTGCACTAAGGCAGATGTAGCCTGAGCAGCCTCCTGTTGTATATATGATGTCAAATCAGCTTGATTGTTGCTTTAGACAAGACTTGGCAGCCTTTTGCTAGTGGTTGATTGTAGCTGGTTTCCCCAGAGTTTCCAGAACACTTTCAAACAACTTGTCTGAATACACATGAAGCCTTAACCTAATAAGAGGCTGCCCAACAAGGAGGAAGACTGGAGTGGAGGGCCGTGGGTTAGGTTTCCACTCTGCTGCTCTGTAGCTGCCTGATCAGGAACGTTCTTCATCTGTGTTCTTCATGAGCTACCTACTAGTAGCTCACCAAGAACAAGGCAAAGGCACCAGCCCCCAGTATGTACTGTCTATATGCTCACGCCTGTCTTCCTGTAGGGGGCGACAGGTAACCTCTATGGCATCTGCTCCCAGGGCCTTCCTGAGTGTCAAGACAGGGTGTCAGTGCCAGTGCATGTCTGAGGAAAGAGTGCACAGAGAGATGAGGCTTCGGTGCTGCTGCTCGACAGCGTTTCTTTGCAGATGTCCCCTCAAGGGGACGGGGCTGGGGGTCATTTCTGCATCTGTCTTGTATACACACAAATCCAAGTGTCTCTTCCATTCTGTGTGATGGGATGGAGTTAGCACTGTGCCTTACTATGTCCTGCTGGCCTGCTGTTAGCCCCATAGAATTCTAACAATGTGCAGTGTAGGCGTCCGGCTGCTTGCTCACCTTGGCCCTGCTCCGCACTTGATATTCGAGGAACTGTATTAAAGGGTCACAGCATTGGGAACACCGAGAACCACTGCTAAAGAATCTGAAAGCAGAGGCCAGGAGGAGATGGCTCAGGGGGGTGAAGAGTTTTCTATGTCAACATGTGGACCTGAGTTTGGACCCCCTGAGCCCACATAAAGCCAGCTGTAGTAGTGTACATCTGTAACTCCCTACCTACAGCAGCACCCAAAATAGAGACAGGACAACTTTTAGAAGCCCATGAGCCAGCTGGCCTGGCATATGCAGTGGTGAGCAAGAGAGACACTCTATCAAACAAGGTGCAGATGGGCAGACAACCTAGGTTGTCTTCCTATGACTTCCACACATACACCACAGCATGCAAGCCACTGCATTTACCCATAAACACATTGTGCACACGTGTATATACAAAAATGTGAAAACATAATCTTAAATCAATAACAAAATCAAGCAGTGGTCAATCCACTTATTAGTATCTGTGTGCTGTAGCAGGTCAGAAGAAGTCAGCAATGAAATACTGCTACCCCAATCCCCAATGCCTTTTCTGTTTAAATCCTGAGCAATGGCTATGGTCATTGTAGACAGATGATCATATGATCATATTTGCAGGCTTATATTGCTTATCCATTGTATTGGGTTGTTTGTTTTTGTTTTTGATATTTTTTGTGGCATCATAATATTAGTTGTCTCAAACTCAATGGCTCCCAACAACTAACTCACATGTCAGCAGGTCAGAGGTCCAGCACAGTGTGTCTCTGTCAGTCTCCACACTGGGACACAGGATCCTCACCTAGAGGCTCTGGGGAGATCATTTCTGTTCTTGCCACAGGATTGAGGTCCTACTTCCTTGATGACTGCCAGCCAAGGCCTATTTGTAGCTCCTCAGACATCCACCTTCCTAGCCACATTGGCCCCTTCATCTTCTAACTAACCATGTGTGTTAAATCCTTCTGAAGCCTTTGATCTCTAGTTTCCCACAGCTTTGAACTCTATATTCAGATCTAAAGGGCTGGGGTCCACAATGAACATCTGGATCCCCTTCCCAACTTTGTGTGTTGTTCTTTTTTATTTTAAAACCCACTGGGTCCAATTTTTTCTGCCCATATATGCATGGGTGTGGAAGTATACACTGGAGTATGGTTGACCTTTCAGGGGTTCACATGCTCAAATAAAACTGAGTCTCCCTCTCCTAGCAGCCTATCCATGCTGGAATGTTGATTGGCTTGATCTTGTGCAGGTCTTGTGAAGGTAGCCATGGCTGCTGGGAGTTTGTGAAATGTAGACTGATTGCCAGCTTTGCTCTTGGGCTTTAGCTCATCCAATACATGCAAGCTAGGTTTCCCCAGCTCCCTTTCCATGTCTTCAACCAGTGGCATTGAGATTGCACAACAGGCAAGCTTTGCTGGGGATGGATGTTTTTACATATGTCTGCCTGTGTGTTTGCACTGAAGTTCTTTCACGCAGGGACTGTGTGTGGCTATGAGTGATCTCAGCACATCTCAGAGTCTTTGGCCCATCATCTGGATCTAAGGGATGTTTGTGGAAACTTACCCGGGTGGTCAAATGAAACGTACTGGATTAAGAAGTTGTTTGGGAATTCTCTGGAAGTCTTGTTTAACAATGTGACTATAATCTCTCTAGTGGATGAGCAGTTCCTTCCTCTGGCAGGAAATAACAGTCGGCTTCCACACTCTGAGTTTCTTCCCCCTGTGACTGTGAGTGTATTAACAGGGAAGGAGCAAGCCAGTCTCAGAGTCGGGAAGGTCAGCTAAGGTCAGCATGATTGACACACAAGTCCAAGTTCAAATGCATTATTGATTAAACGATAGTCTGGTGGTTTTAAAAGCCATCCTTGAAAAGTCTAGTCCCTGTCCCCTTCTGGTGCATGGAAGGGTACTTTTCTGTGCCCACTGAAGTCAGACATGGCTGTCAGGTTTGCTGGGGTCATTGAAACATGAGCAAAAATGGTGAGAATCCGTGTGACTCTCCACGTTGCTTCCTTTTTATGCCATGGTGACCATGATGTTGTGGGCAGAGAAGGAGACCCAGCCACCTAGGTCCTTACCTTATTATAGAAATTCCCTGCTTCCACATACTGAACATGGAGCACCAGGAAGATGAAAACTTATTGCCTTGCATTTTCTGTTGACACAGAAGACCCAGGGCAGCTAAGACAGCAGGTGGGGAGGGGTATGAGGCCAGCAGCAGACTTGGTTAGTTCAAGTGTCCTGGATAAAGAGGGTCATCACACGCCAGAGTGTGACTCCCGGCTAAAGACGGTTTTGTGTCATACCCTGACTGTTGGTCATGAGTGGCAGGGGAGGGGGTGGCAGGAAAAGTCCCAAGGAAGATGTCTGCCCTCAGACACTGCTCACTCTTCTGGATGAATGAGCTGGCTATTAGCCAAGGAGGTACAACTCAGACTTCCTGTGAGGGGAGTGGGGGCTCAGCCGTGGGTGAGTTATCATCTAATCACACGTGTTGAGAAGCTGAGGTGCTGACGACTGTGAAGCCTCTCCTTCAAGACGGGGTTTCTTTTAGGGCAGCATTATTACTAATACCTTCACTCTACAGCTTTTTGCAGTCCTGGGCGCCACGGTGAGCAAACACATTTCCTGGGCAGCGTGGAAGGCACATAGCAGATAGCTAGCAGTTGTGTGCAAAATGGACTGTGAAATACACCATCTTGGAACAGGCACATAACTGGTCTAAGCAGTCTCCACAGACTGAAGCTGCTAGTCACTGAACCAGGACTTAAGGGCCCGCCTCTGTGCTCAAACATCCCCCACAATTACAGATTAAAAACAACCCTTCCTTCATGGCTGCAAGTGCAGGGAAACACAGAGTTGCCTGAAGATCTGAATGCGGCATGAAACGTTCTCAGAGTTCAAGGTCTTGGAACAGATCGTTCATGAAGCCAGTCTTATGATTCACAGTCCTGGGTTCACTCTGTGGTCAAACCAGAAAAAAATTAGAAGGAAGCCAGGTATCTGGAATGAATTAACTCCCCCTCCCTTCCTCCCGCTTGCCCTCCTTCCCTCTTCTCCTTTCCCTTTCTCTTCCTTTTTCTCTCTCTCCCTCTCTCCTCTTTCTCTTTCTAATTATGAGGAGTACTGGAAATTCAAACAGCTGGACCTTACAATCAAACCTCTGTATCTGAATTTTCCACACCAATGGTTCCAACGATAAGGAACAAAAATCTTTGGGAAGAGCATCAGGACTGAAGATGGAAGAATCTCTACTTGTCCTCATCCCCGAGGCATGGCATTCCCAGGTACCCAGGGTCTAAGGCATCTAGGGATGACAGAAGCATCTGGAAGATGTAGGCTGGATCTGTGCAAACATGATAGTATGTAACATAGGGACTCTGGTACCACAGGTTCCAGCTGTGACCTCCTCCCTGCAGATGCAGGCAGAAGATGGTGTTATGACAGAGGCGTTTTGCAGTGATAATGGGACCAGGTTCATCTGGAGTTAGTGCTGCCCCTTCCTAAAGGTACCACTGTTTCTCCCACTGACAAAATGCTCTCATCTTCTAAGTCTCCCTCAGAATCTATCTCCCGGAAGTATATTACACCAACCCAACACATTGGTAGTTGCTCAGAAGTGGGCGTGCATGTGTACAGGAACCATGCACTTTTTATTTATTTATTTTTTGTATTTCATTTTTTCACTTTCACTATATATTCTGCATGTGGCACTATATTACATATTACATAGATTGAATATTATATGTTACATAAGGACAGTTTCATACATACATACTTTTTCCATTGTGTTTTTAAGCCTTTGTCTAAGCATGTATTGTTTAAATACAAAGGAAAGCCCACATGGAAAATCAAATTCTATCTCCTTCCGGAAAACATCTCTGGTTCTGTATTTCTCAGTGACCTATGACCTCACATCCTCCTACCTGTGCCACACCCAGGTCTTCAGAGCTGAGCCTCCTCCCCTGTTTGGACTCCATCCTAGCTCTGCCTGGAGACCAATCTCAGCTGCTACACTGGGGCCTCAGCTAATAGTTGGCCGATGAATAACATCCTGTAATGTGTGTCCCTCGGCTGAGGAGCGGTGGGGGGCAGGGCGATGCTCTGGGCCAGAATTCATGCTAGTTCAAAGTTAAGGCCCTGACCCCCAGCAGCTTAGTAAGTAGACAGAACAACAGCTCCCCATTCTTGCCGAGGTTCCCACACACCCACGCCAGGAAGAGGGAAGAGATAGGACACCCAGGGGTCGGGGGATCTGTAGCTCTTCCTCCTGTGAGAACTCCAGTCTCTGAGCTGGACCCAGCCTCCTGTGCCTCGAGAAATGGTTTTCTTGTCTCACCCTGGGCACTTTTCCCAGGAGGGTCCACTAGATGGCCTTCAATGAACACAGTGACTTTCACAAGCCAGCTTGGAGGAGGAGGAGGGACAGAGTGCCTCCTGAACTGTTTACTTGCTTGCTTCTCTTTGACAATTTGTTTAGGTAAATCTCCTGCCGTGTAACCATATTAACAATGTAACAACTTTTACATTTGACAATAGACAGAGAACTGCGACTGGGACAACATTGTCGAAACTGGTCTTTAGGCAAAGAGGTCTGATTGAAGCACAGTAAATTGATTTCTGAGTATTGGCATTTTGTTCGTTACAACACGAACAGCACCGCATTGAAAGACGTGGTTAGTAAAATAAATCCAAGGCCTACTGCACAAAACTGGCCTGAATGAAGTGAAACGATAGGACCTCGCATTGGCGGGGCCAGGGTAGCTCAGGCTCCATGGCACTTTGGGGGCAGGCACATGGCATCACTGTGCATGTAATTATGGCTTTTCCATATATATAAAGCTATAGTTATAAAGCTAACGGTGGTTTGAACTCTGACTACGAAACTTCGAAGATTCCAAAAACTAGAGAAAAGCAGTCGGTATAAAAATGCTCATCTCTGCTACTTGTAGTAATGAGACCTTGGAAAGAACCCCAGGGGCTGACAGTAGGGAGATGACTCAGCCAAGTGTGGCATATGGGCACCAACAGGATGGACAGCGTGAACTGCCTGACTGGATACAGGAAGTCAGGCTAAGAGGATGTTTTCTCTGGTTAAACATGAATTTGCTGCTTTAGGGATGAGTGTGAGAGCAGACTTTTGTCCTAGTAAGCTCTTACACAGACAATGAGTGTTGCCTCGCGGGGGTTAAAAGGAAACACAAAGCTGTGCATGGTGCCACATCCAGCAATCCATCCCAGGAGGCCAAGGCAGAGGACTGTGAGTTCTAGGCCAACATGGGCTACTCAGTGAATGAACAAACACCAACAGCAAAGTAAACTCAACAGCCATTTTCCGTTGGTAACCGGGGAGGAAGTGAACTGGTTCTAGAGTAGATCCGTGGAAGCGGCATCGGTGGTACTGTAACAAAATGCCACGGCCTGACAGAGTCACACCAAAGCTTACTTCTTGAAGTTACTCGAGGCAGACAAGTATCATAGGAGTAATTTTGAAAAGAGGATAGGTCGGTAGTCATCGTTCTGTCTTCTCTCCATGCTGTCCCCTGTCTGTTGTGCGATGATGTGGCCAGAAGATCCTCGATGGATACAAGCCCCTTGACCTTGGGCCCCTAGTTTCCTGAACAGCTGAGAAGGACATCCCAGCTTTTTATCAATTCTCCAGTCTCATGTCCTCTGCTACAGCTTCACAAAACAGACTGTGAAGCTATGCCACGGGAGATTAGGGTCTGACAGGCAGTTTTGGAGAGAGGGATGCAAACATTCAATCCATATCAGGAGACACTTCCATCAACTTGGTAGGTGGTGCACAAAAATACCTGGGTCACAGAAAAACCCCAAAGCTTCTTTTCCTGTAGGCCTTGTTGGGAGTGGTTAAGGCTCCCATGGGGAAGGTTGGGCACTCATGGGCTAGCCCACACATGCTAAGATAAATTACCATCTGCTCATTGTAGCACTAACTGACAGTCATGTGCTTTTAATTTAGAACCAACATTTGAACCAAAAATCAGGCTGTTGCAAGATTCTGTGCAGTCCCATCTTGTCTAACTCACAGTCTACCATTAATCCAAACCAGTTTTTGTTTAGCTTTAATTTGCTTTCTGTTAATAAATATTTTAATAGTTCTTTGAGAATTTTATATGATATATTTTCACCATATTCACTTTTTTCTCTTTGTAACTGTTTCCAGATCCCCACCCCTCCCAATTTCATATATTTATTTATTTTTGGTTTTTCAAGACAGGGTCTCTCTATGTAGCCCTACCTGTACTGGACTAGCTCTGTAGACCAGGCTGGCCTCGAACTCAGAGTTTCACCTGCTTCTGCCTCCTGAGAGCTGGGGTTGAAGGTATGAGCCACCACACTTGGCCCCTTATATTTTTAGTAGTTCATCAAATCCAATTTGTGCTGCCTACTTACTTGTGGGTGTGCAGCCAAATACTGAAGCCTGGGGCCTACTAAGGGCCATACCCTTAAAGAAAGACTCTCCCTCTCTCAGAAGCCACTAACTGCCTCAGCTAGGGGGTTCACCCTCTTCCATGGCCGTGCTGGAGTGTCAATTGGCTTGATGTCATGGAGGTCTTCTGTAGGCAGCAACAGCTGTTTTGTGTTCATGGATGCAGTGGTCGCCTTAAGGCCAGAAGACACTGTTTTGCTCCCTGACTTCTGGCTCCTATGCCCTTTTTGCCGCATCCTTTGTGGATGAGAGTGGCTGTGATATCGATGTCCCATTTGTGCCTGAGCACTCCACTGATACTTATTCTCTCTTCTTTGACCAGTTGTGAGTTTCTATGTTAACCACCATCCACTTCCAAAAAGACGCCTCTCTGACGATGTCAGAACCACAGAGAGTATAGAGATATGAATTCAGAGGGCTATTTGATTCTGTGTCAACTTAGCAGGATAATAGACTCACCCCTAGGGCCTATGAGCTCCCTAACCATGGATTCTTGGCATATTTAAAATGCTAAGCATATATTTCTTCCTGTGGAGCAGGCCTTGACTATAACCAGAAAGTGGTTGGTTGCTCCCAAAGCGTTCTCGCCACTATCACACCAACGGACTTGCCATGCCCAGCCATTGTTGTAGTTCATAGGTGGGTAAGATTCTTGATCACTACCACTCCAATCCCCCACAGCCTACGTGGAAGCTTCCTCTACTCTGAAAGCCAGTAGGGAGCAAACGTGCTGGTCAGTGCCATCTTGATGTTTCCATATCCTCTGATGAAAGCTTGTGGTGTCTTCAGCAACTCACTCATACCATCAGGTTCTGATGGGCAACCAAGAGTGATGGCAATGGTGTGTGCTGTCTTGGGGGGGTCTCCTGGACACTCCTAATTTGAACTCATTTAAGGGATGGTCTAACCAAAGAGGAAAAGTCATGTGGCAAGACACCATCTGATTGGATGGATGCTTCCTATAAAGGATACTTTCCCAGAATCTCCCCTTTGCAGTAAAAGGCAGAGGCCAGCACAGACCTGGTTACTAAAGATGTCCCAGGAGTATGGTAACTATGACACACAGATGAATCTTTGAAGGCTTGCAAGTACCACACATTAAAGGGGCGACATAGTCTAGACTGTTTCTCTCCTTTCTCCTCTGAGATAGTGGAATGAAAATAAAAAATGTTAAATGAATTTATGAGGGCTGAGAAGATAGTTCAGTTGGTAATGTTTGCCTAGCCAGCATGAGGATATGAGTTCAAACCCCAGATCTCACAAAAACAAACAAACAAAGAGGTGTATTATTGTGCACTGTAATTTCAGCCCTGGAAAAGGGAGAGTCAGGCAGATGTCTGGGGCTTGCTGGTCAGTCAGTAGAGCCTATTCGATGAGTACCAGACCAAGGGTGAGACTGTCTCAAAACACAGGTCAGCACCCTAGGAACAGTACCTGAGGTTGACTACACACACCCACACCCGCACACGCACGCATGCATGCATGCACGCACACAGACACACACAACAGAAATATTTGTCAGTCACATGTTATGTTCTGTACCCTACAGTAGTGCATTAGCCCATTTACTATTGCTATAAAAATGCCTGAGGCTGGTGAGGAAACACAGAAGGAAAGGTTTAGTCAACTCAGTTCTGTCCAATCACCTGGTCCCATCAGGTTAGCCTCTGGTGAGAGTCTCCCTGGCTACATGACAACATGGTGCAGCAGCATAGGGGGCAAGGGAGAAAGAAAGAACAGTCACATGCAAAAGCATAGAGATTCGAGGATGTGAGGCTTGCTCTGTGCCAACTGGCTCTTGCAGAAACTAGCGGGAGTCCTTTGAAAACCACATTTATCCCTTCAGAGGGCAGTGCCTTTGTGAGAAGTCACTGTTCCTCCAGGCGCCACCTTTTAACTGTGTCTCTATCTGTTAGTATTGCTATACTGGGGAACAAAGCTTCCAGCATGTTAAACTTCCAGGGGCACATGGAACCCACGTCCAAGTGACAGCAGACAGGTATTGACACATCCTTAGGCAAGACAGGTGTCCATCAGCGTTGACCCAATGACTGC